TGGTTTCTTCGTCATCCTCTGTTTCACTGACCACCTCTACCCTTTTTTCCACTGAGCTAACTTTTCGTCGTAGACTCCGCCTTTGAGGGGTATCATCTGCCTTTTTGAGCTCCTTCAATTCTATCTAGAAAGCACAATATGTTTTGTTGAGCGAGCAATCATCTTTCGACAGATGTATAAATTACGAGAAAGCTTAGGGTTTTCAGAGAGAAATTTTCCATGGGGAAAAAACCGTACTACTAGTCGGACAACATAAACTACTTGCGTTAATCTATGGAAAAATGGGAGGTAAACCAACAATTGAAGCAAATTATGGCACGTCATCGAATTTTGAAAATTACCAGCCATGCATAATTCACTGCGCTCCAATTAATTATGACTTACTTGCAGGCATGGACAATTTCACATTTAACTAACAGTTGTTGCAAACTTCAAGCGCCACAATTTCGTCGAATTTTTCTCGAAAATCTCGTCGTTTTTGAATCAAGCTACAAATTTTTCCCCAAAGGTTGGGTTACAGAAGACGAACATCTCATCCATTTGGTGACAGAGCGCTCAACGCAAGGCGCTTCAGTGGCGCAAGGCGCCGCGTCGAACAGATATTACTTCGCAATTTATGGGTCAAACTACCTCTGCTGGTGAAATTCTAGCCAAATTAAGAATAGGAGACAAATTTTGAGGAAAATTGACTCCCATCCAGAAAGGTGAGGCGATAAGTGAGAAAAAACTAACACCTTTTATCAAACCTCACATTTTACACTGCTTTCAAGCGTACGGTTTGAAACACAGTAGTGATTGTACCCTTCAAACTAGCCAGAACCTCCTGAAATTTAGCATTTAGATATGACTAACTATCCGCACGATAAACACGTGTGCTCCTTCATTATGTCCGCAAAAGGGCAAACAAACATTGAATTTTATGCTGGACGTCGAGCGCTAACCAACAAGGAGCTCTCTGTCAACCTCAGTAAGTGAAAATTTTATTGCTCAGTGCTTGAAGGTTGACAGAAATATTTGACAGGGCATGTACTAACGAGAAACGACACTCGGCCTCGAATCAGTGGATGGCATATTACGAACGTGACGTCCAGAATCAGCTACTACGACTATGATAACATTACTGACACAAAAACGACAAGATATTCGTTGTAAGTTGCAAAATAAGCCGTTTTTTGTCCCCATAACCAGGGTCAACCGTCCGTTGGACAAAGTCCAACGAGGGGGGTCGTATTCGCAAGGTCGGAGGCAGCGTCAATCCTACACCAACGGGGGTCGTAGTGTGACGCTTTACGCTTTGTGAGTGCTAAGAAAAAAAATTTGCCGTTTCACTGTTGATATATACCCCCGCTCGACGGCTATTTTGGAGGAAATGTGGGTGGAGTTGGGCTGTGTCAACTGGTCTCAGAATCAAATACTGTAGTAAGAGCTCTGATGGTAAGGGAGGGTCGTTATTAGTGGACCTCCTGGGTCCTGAGTCTTATGGTGGTGGAGAGGGTCGTGAAAATATTTCCAAAAAGTACCATGGGTAGGGTTGACTGTGGGGGATCGTATCGAAGGCCCTCAAGAAAGGGGGGGGCTCGTCCATTTTTGGAATTTGTCCCAACGTGACGGTTGACCCTGCCCCCATAACCTTAACGATTTTCAGTACTGTGGCTGTTCAAGCTGTGCACTTTGCCCGTTACGATCCGTCATATTTTTACACGTTAAATGTGCCAGCACTGATATTTGTCGCATTCAACATAGCCGGTATGCCCCTACTGTATATGTGAGTGGTTGTTCTGCTTCGTTTACCGTAACTTCGCTTACAGGAGCTCTGGTCACGGATTCAGCTCAGTCGATGGGGTTTTTCCTTGTGGGATTGCTCTTACAAGGACTCTTCCTACGAGATTTCATCGATAGAATTCCTCTACACTATGATTCTCTGCCAAAAATACGTAAGTTTTCAACTACAGGGTGGCGAAAAATTACAATGCGTGCGCCATAAACACGTGCAAACCTTTATTTATTGTCCACAAAAATTTGAAAATTATCAATTTTCATAAAACATCAAACAATGACATTTTATAACTGTAAAAAAGATTTGGAGTAGCTGCCAGCAATTATGATACAAGCCTCAATTTGTTTCTTCACCCAGTTGATGGTGCGGCGGAGCTGTTCAACGCATATTTCTTCCAAATTTTAGGCAGTTCTCAGAATCACCAAACTTTTTCAGTTTCGACAGTGGTTCTTTAATGAAACCCCAAAAAGAAGTGTAATGAACCTGAACTGGAAGTGTGAGCAGGCCAGGAATCCATCGCCACAAAACAGCCAATAATGGTTTCGAAAAGTTGGGACGGTGTATGTGGTCATGAGCCTGAAAGCGCTCTCTGTACAAACACAGAATGTTATGGATTCTGCTTTCTAGGCCAGCATTTCTCAGGGATGCCCTTCTTTGGTGAGACCATTCTCATTGATTTCCACCGCTTTTATAAAAAATAACCGGCGCTCATGTCTTGGGGAGGACGTTATAAAACCAGGAATTTCTAGGCATTCAGAATTGCGAAAAGCACTTCATTTTGATAAAAACGTTGGAAAGAGTAACCTTACCGGGGGTGAGGGGTTGGTGTGGTTCAGTCTACGTGAGAGCCTGGTGCTCCATTTGCTCTATTAGTGCACGTGCTTCATGTCGTGGACGTGGAATTAGCAGGAAAACAGGATATCTCACTCACCTTTTTTGAAACTCTGAGAGGAACTACAAACCACACCTCACCTTATAAAGTTTCAAGGACGAGCTTGAAACGCTCAAACGTGCCCCCACTCCCCATTAAGAAGAAACATAAGAATGATCTGGCAATGAAGCCGTCGGTGCGTTGAAATTCACATGTTAGCCATGTGTAGACGTGTTGGGGCATTCTGAACCTGCACTAAACATGTATCGGCCTGTATTAGACATGTGTCACCATGTATTAGAGCAATTCATATGAACTCAGCGGCAACATTATCACTATCTCGCCGAGAGGGCGCAGACAAACATAATTTCGCACAGAGGGCCGAATTCTTCTCAATGAGGTGAGAGCTACATCTCCTAGACGATTATAATCAAATAAAACGCTTTTCTCGGTTTCGAGTGCTTTGTTTAAAATGTCTTCCCCCCAAGGACATTGAGCGCCTAAAAACCTGTACAGGCCTGCTCAGAGCAGTGATCCAGCCTCAGTCCATCAAATTTTCAGGGAACGAGATTCTTCTGGGTACTTTCCAATTAAGGATGTTGCTAAGAGCTGATGTAAAAGATTAAAGGTGATTGTGAGAGTGGTAAGGCACTTAAACGGTAAATTTTTATTTGTGAAGCCACAAGGCGTCCTAGGACCGCCGCACCTCAGAAAAATCCCGCAACTTCTTATATTTTTTCTTCCGATCTTGCTTTGCTTGGAGGGTGGGAAACTGCCCGTTTGATATACGATATAGTCCATTCCGCACTTTATTTTTGCTGTCATCTGAACCAATTTTCGGGAAGGCTTGGTTCTGTTCGGCCCTCTTATTCAAGCTCAGGTCATCTTTTTGGTCATTCCTCTTTTTAATAATTTTTCTCACACATCGGGTGTTGGTAATCCGTTCTCATTCCCTTACGGGTTTAGGCAAGAGATAGTCTTCCTCTTTCTAATGCTTTCCAGTTTTTTGGACGGTTTGTAGAAAAATTGTGAGCCTCGAAGAAATCATTTAGCTCTCAGTCAGCTGTTTGCTTGCCGCGCAATCGCACTCCAACTTGAATAGGTCTTTGTCAAAACTTGGAAAACGAATTTCTTTTTTTGCAAACCAATAACTAGCTAATGGCTAACTAGCTATAATTATCAAAGAGTTTGAAAAGAAAAAGCACACACAAATTCCTCCTGCAATGTTTTAAACGAACTAAGTTGAATTTGACACGAAATACATTTTAAGTTATGAAAACTAATAATTTGAAGTCACTTCGAACATTTAAAGCTAAATAACAAAAGAGGTGAGCATTGTTGATTTCCGTGATTACGATTTCCAAAAGATATCCTTGGTCTATTCCAGTTAGGGGGGGCATCATGATGCAGTTTCTCGGCGAACTAGTGTGAACTCGAACATTCCAGCTTTTCACGCATGTCAAGTGACTGCCCTCACCCCCACCCCCTAGACTGGCTACACTCCCCCTGGCTCGGAGTTACCCTAGCTTTCTGGAAAAACTGCATCATGACGCCCCTAACTCGTATTACTTACTTGGATTACATGGCGACCCGTTATCAGCGATTATTCTTGCGCGAGTCCCAACAACTAAGGCTAGTGGCAGAAGTGGTCGTAGCATTTTCAGAACAGAACTGGTATAGACCCGATAAATAAAGGATAAAGCATTTGCCGTTGATCAATCCCTTTTTGGGATGCGGCACGCATTCTACTTCCATTTGTACATTCGTAGTGGCGTTTGAATGCGATGTGGCCTATACAATGACTTGCGGGGGCCAGCCGATGTACAAGTCAGTGTTTTTATCCTCCCAGACAAGTCTGGTACCAATTAACCGACCCCGGAGGGATGGAAGGCTTGGTTGGCCCGGGCGACTCACGACCCAGGATTTGATCCCCGGACCGCTCGCGTGGTAAGCGTGCCACTTGCCACCACACCACCTTCCGTGGAAAAGCGCAGAGTGAAAAAGTTGAATTGAAAAGGTGTGAAAAAGCTAGTGGAGCTACCCTATGTATCTGATGCACTTATGGGTGAAGTGCATAACCAGGCGGTTTATTCGTCTTTCCCCTGTGTCTTTATTTCGCCAATCCCAACTCACTGATGAGCTCCGGGGATTGACGAAATAATAAGGTTCGTCTGAGGAAGGAGCGAAACGAACCATTTAATTATTTTGTTTATAATGGTTTTTCTTTCTTAATTATCGTTGTCTCCGTAGAGTCCGAAAGAATTGTCTGAAGTCACACGTGAAATATCCCTGTTCCCCCCAGGTCCACTCTTCGAAATTTTATATTTGCGCGTTCATTTTCCAAAATTCTTCACTGCTCATCTTTTTTTCGTATATGAAAAACATTGGATTATAACTCCCCGCAAATGCTGATACTGCCAGCCGTAGCTAAACAGATTTTCTTCACTCTCTCACACAAGTTGGAGAAGGAATTCAACGAAAGTGTAAATGCCAACTACTGGGTTCAAACCTTTCCCCAAATTCCAGTTCAATTCTTCGTCGTGCACCTATTTTTGTCGGCTTTCGGCTTCTTTTTTGTTACTTTCAAAGAAGTATGGCGACGTTATCAGCGGAAACCTCCTGTACTCAGCAAGTATCCTACCTCCATAGTACGTTTCATTTTGTTCGTATACATATAACCTGTGTATTTTTTTCTAGTACTTTTCCATCGTCAATGAAATCTTTGCTTTCAGATGGATGGACTCCAATGTTTGTGCTGTCAAGGATTTTGTCAATCACTGGAGCATACATTTTCATTTCATTAATGACTATTGTTTATGTTTTTGATGTGAAATGAACCTAAATTGCACTTATGCTTTGATTAGTTATCTATAAATGTTACTTCGGCTTTGTACCTTTTACAGCTCCATTACTCAAAACTGAGCCGGATTTCAGTCGAAATCTGTCGTTGACAATGATTTGGCGTGAAAATTGCCTTTCGGTATCCATCACGTAAAGCCCGAACATCACATCAACTTGGCACGAAAAAACGCTTGGCGCCTGCGCCATAGGGCGCTGGCCCTATCACATTAGTTTTTGAGCCAGCGCCTTTAGCGGTAGCGTGACAAGCTCACTCGCCAACTTATCTAATTGTGGATATTGCTAAGGATCAAAAACTATCCTGGCACGCTTCGACAAGTTTTTAGCAAATTCTTGGTGCCTCGCAAGGTGGTCCGGCACCCATTGGCGCCGGCTCTTGTGGCGCGGGCGCCAGGCGCCTACCTTTTCAATTTTTGAAGAGCTGGGCTGTCAAGGGGAGATATGCCGTTGCTTCAATTACAGTTGGCAGACGATTCGACCTTGATGTATGGAAATCAGGTCAGTGTAGAAAGTAACGTTACATAAATTGCCAGTTGGAGTTATTGCAAGCAGTTAGTCTGCAGTAATCGTTTACGATTATGAGGCATTACTTGTGCGACTACGAGACGCAGCATGAGAACAGATCAACTCCTCTTTGTTAAGCACTATACAGTTCTTATCAAAGACTGTATGCAATGCGGAAGAATAAGATAAGATGATGGGCTTTCACAAAAGAACCTAGTTATAGCCGACCAGCCGTAGGGTGAACTTTGAAGAGGGCAATGAGCATGACAAGGGGTTTGTGAGTAGCAGAAGAAGAGCTTGCTTCAGTTCTCTTGAGGTGCGCAATACATCCGTCTTTCGTTATAGGTGTTCGTAATGCATGATGGGCCTTGGTAGAGGATTGCGATAAGTAAGCAAAGACTTATGCGCTCAATAAAGTTGAGTGCACTGCACCGAGGTATACCCGGGGAGGGGGGAAGGGGGAGGGCAAAAAAGGTCATTCCACCTCCACTACAAAACGGAATTAATTACGAACTGCAAAATCAAACCAATGCCCCAATTGAATATTGAAGAGCAATTCTAATCTATCAAAAAATTACATACAGCCTTCTACACCGACGACATCAGAAGATTTTCCCACGGAAACATGGTGTACGGTACGAGCTCGACGAGGTCCTTGATGAATAGCAGACCATTACGACGATATTCAAACAGGGTCAATCGTATGTTGCGACAAGTACCAACGTATTTTGTTG